AGTCCCATTTGCACGTACGGCGTGAGGCCTATGTGTTTGTGCATCGGAGGACAGCGTTTCAGCTGGGATTTTGTGACAGCGGACATTTCTTTTCCCCTCCTCGGAGCGGATTTTTTGTGTGCTCATGGACTCTTAGTGGACGTTAAGAATAGGCGTTTGGTTGATGCCTTAACGTTTTCTTCCCTCGTGTGCACACTTGGCAGCGCAGCGTACGACGGGGGTGTTTTCCAAGGTGGATCTGGTGCGTGGATACCACCAGGTGCCCATGCACCCCCTGGACATTCCCAAGACAGCAGTCCAACGCCTTGGACTTTTTGAGTTCCTGCGGATGCCTTTTGGACTCAAGAATGCCGCTCAGACGTTCCAGCGCCTGATGGATTCGGTGCTGCGGGACCTGCCGTTTGTGTTTGTTTACCTCGACGACATACTCGTCGCCAGCGCTTCAGTGCAGGAGCACCTTTCCCACCTCCGAGCCCTTTTCACACGGCTCAACGAACACGGATTAATCATCAATCCTGCAAAGTGCCAGTTCGGGGTGTCGGACATCGATTTCCTGGGGCACCGCGTCACCAAGGGCGGTGCGACACCTCTGCCAGCGAAGGTGGAGGCTGTTGCGGCGTTTCCTCGCCCGCTCACAGCCCGGTCGCTCCGTGAGTTTCTGGGGATGGTGACTTTCTACCACCGTTTCATCGCCCGGGCCGCACACATCATGCGGCCGCTGTATGAAGCGTTGAAAGGCAAGACCCCCGTCCAGGAGATCGACTGGACAGCAGAGGCGGACGGCGCTTTTGCTGAGGTAAAGACCGCGTTGGCTCAGGCGGCTTTGCTGGCACACCCATCATCTACGGCTCCCATCTCCATCACCACGGACGCGTCAGACTACGCGGTCGGCGCAGTGCACGAGCAGTGGGTGGAGGGCGCTTGGCAGCCGCTCGCCTTTTTCAGCCGCCAGCTGACGCCTAGAGAACGCAAATACAGCGCCTTTGACCGGGAGCTCCTCGGACTTTATTTGGCCGTGCGGCACTTCCGTTTCATGCTGGAAGGCCGTGAATTTACGGCGTTTGTCGACCACAAGCCGCTCACCTTCGCCATGTCAAAAGTGGCGGAGCCTTGGTCGGCACGTCAGCAGCGGCAGCTGTCCTACATATCGGAGTTCACTACGGACATTAAGCACGTGGCTGGCAAGTCGAACCTGGTTGCTGATTGCCTCTCCAGGGTCGTCATCGGTGCCGTCCAGTTGGGCCTGGACTATACTCGCATGGCGGCAGACCAGGTCACAGATCCCGGCATCCAGGCCCTGAAGGTGGAGAGCGCGGGGCTGCGCTTGGAGGACGTGGTGTTCGGCGACGCGGGCATTACTCTCCTGTGTGACATCTCTACGGGCCTGGCGCGGCCTGTCGTCCCTGCCAGCTGGAGGCGTCCTGTGTTCGAGGCTGTGCACGGCCTGTCACACCCCGGCGTTAAACCTTCGGTGCGTTTGGTAGCGGCGAAGTTCGTTTGGCAAGGACTGAAAAGGGACGTGAGGACTTGGGCCAGGGAGTGCGTGGCTTGTCAACGCGCTAAGGTGCACCGCCACACGAAGGCCCCGTTGGAGCGTTTCCTGGTGCCTGAGAGGAGGTTTGATCACGTCAACATTGACCTGGTTGGTCCGTTGCCTTCCTCTCAGGGGTTTTCCTACCTCCTCACCATGGTGGACAGAACGACCCGTTGGCCGGAGGCGGTTCCGCTCGTTTCGACATCAGCCGCAGACGTGTCCCGGGCCTTCATTGCAACGTGGGTGTGTCGTTTTGGCACCCCGTCAGACATTTCCTCAGACAGGGGCTCTCAGTTCACGTCCGAGCTCTGGAACGCTGTGGCAGGCGGTTTGGGGGTTAAGCTGCACAGGACTACCGCTTACCACCCTCAGGCTAACGGCCTCTGCGAGCGCATTCATCGCTCCATGAAGGCGGCCCTCAAGGCCGGCCTTACGGACGGTAACTGGGTCGACAAGCTGCCCTGGGTGATGCTGGGCCTGAGGACCGCACCTAAAGAAGACTTGCAGTGCTCTACGGCTGAGATGGTCTACGGTCAGCCGCTGAGAGTTCCGGGGGATTTCCTCCCAAATGCATCGGCTCCCTGGTCGGCGTCGGCCCAGCGGGCTTTCCTGCGTGACGCCGCTGAGGCCTTTGCTCCGATCCCTACTACTCAGCACAGTACTCAGGTGTCCCAGGTTCCCGCAGAGCTCCGCTCGGCGGAGCACGTGTTCATCCGGCACGATGCGCACAGAGGCCCCCTGCAGCCCCCTTATGATGGGCCTTTCCGGGTCTTGGAGCACGGGGACAAGCACCTGGTGGTCGACCTGGGTGGCAAGGCCGAGCACGTCTCGGTGGACCGGGTGAAGGCTGCTCACCTGGACTTGGACCAGCCTGTGGTGCTGGCTCGACCTCCGCGACGGGGCCGCCCCCCGGCCTCGTCCCCTGTCACGGATTTAAGACCTGTTGTTCCGGTCCCTCCCCTTCCGGGGGCCGCACAGGCGGGAGTCACTTTTCGGACTCCCGTGCTCAGGAGTCGTGGGGGTCGGCGTGTCGTTCCTCCCCGCCATGCTGATTTTGTTTATGTGTGAATTCTGGGGGGGCTTGTGTGGTGACACGTTATTGGACATAATTCACCTTGCTTATTGTGTTGCCACACGGACCCTTTAGTGGGGAACACCTGTAGCTTTAGCTGCCATTCCTGCTAGCTCATCAGGCAGAGCAGTGCATGTGTTAACCTCTCTGAAAGTAATGGATAATAAAGATTGGAACTCCATTCTTAATACACCGCCTCCGACTCTCTTTTCACGGCACTACACTACTCTCTTTATTTGCTTTAGTTTAGTAGCCTAGATATAAACAAAGAGTCGATATTTTTCTAAGACCATTGCTTCACATAATAAAATACACAACGGATTATGCTTTTGGAGCTAGGTGTGTGTGGTACAGTGTGTAGGTGTGTGTTGTACAGTGCGTAAATGCGGCGGACAGACGGGTCTCAGTTGGTTTGGTGTCCTCTGCTTACTTTTAATAGGCCTACTTGTAAATACAACTTTTGGCCCGTAATTTCAATTCCCCATTTCAGCGACCAGAGAGGGGGGGGGGATATATCCAGTCTCTGATTGTGTTACGTTATTATGAGAGTGCTCTCATACTTTAAATTGTATACATTTATATAAATATATTTGTGTGTGTGTGTCCGCATCTGTAGCCTGTTATTGTCTCATTATACCGCACTCTCAATGAATTCAAAGTAAATATGTGGGGGAACAATGTGCAGCTGATCTAACAGAGATACAGCGCTATGACAAAACACTCGACAGCTGATGCAGCTGTTGCCACGTAATAATGAACGGACGTCTCTTTAAAATGACCGCTTAGAGGAGAGGAGTTCTCATTTCTTTAAACGTCTGCTGCTTCCCCTCCTCTCTCCTCGGTTCCCCTCCTCGGTCTTCCGCTCGCATCTCCTGTGGGCGGGTCTAAGTCTCGAGGAGGGGAACCGAGGAGGGGAAATTTGAGTATTGAGAAGCCTCTACAGTCACTACCCGATCTGCAGCTCTGCCCGATCTGCAGTGCGCATGTGCGAGATGGTCCGCCATATTGGACAACTCCGGACGGCAACCCAAGATGGACACTTGACACAGTGGCTTTTAGCAAAGCTTAAAAATAAAACGAGAGAGAGATGAGTTATTGTTAATACAACGTGACTTCACTATTATTTAACAACTCTTTTTATGGGGTTCTTTTATTTGGGGTTAAGTACATTGTCAGAATAAGTGAGAAATTAATGTAACTTCTGTTAGACAGCTATCATACTGAATACATATTTACTGTGAATGTGTGCAAAAATGTATGGCATATGGCTGTCTAGTTTCTCACTTATTCTGACAATGTACTTAACCCCAAATAAAAGAACCCAATAAAAAGAGTTGTTAAATAATAGTGAAGTCACGTTCTAATAACAATAACTCATCTCTCTCTCGTTTTCCTTTTGAGCTTTGTCAAAAGCCACTGTGTCAATGTTGTCCTACTTGGGTTGCCGTCCGGAGTTGTCCAATATGGCGGACCATCTCGCACATGCGCACTGCAGATCGGGCAGAGCTGCAGATCGGGTAGTGACAGCCGACTCCGAGGCTGCTTCTCAGGTCGATTAAATGAAATCCTTGCTTCCCTCACTTGCGTCGTTTCCCTGCGTTTAGTCCCTCCCACCAGGGAAGCATGGAGGGACGCAAGGAAACCACGAGAAGCAGGGAAATGAGTTTTAAGAGCAATGGGACGTCCTTTCCTCCGGAGCGTCACGTGAAGCGACGTCCATTTGTGATGATGCTGCACAGCTGATCGTCTGACAGCATCTCTGTCCCCGTTATTTCCACACACCCCCCCGCCTCTGTTAGTACACATTTACTGACACAAACATTTGTATCATCTGTTGTAGACCCAAATAAATAAAATAAAATAAGATCTAATTCTCAAAAAAGAAACGCCATTCTTAAAATGTATAAACGAACAATAGTTTGATTAATATTGATTAGAGTGCACAATAGAAATAAAATAATTGAGAGAAGAAAAAGAGATATGTTATCTATCAAAACCCAGTTAGATTAACATTCATTGGATTGCACACTTTGTTTGTTTGGATATGTAGTAAATTAATATTTCAATAGCACTTAATGACTGACTAAATGGAAATGACAATAAATGAAAATGTAAAACGAAAAAAGCGATCATGAAAATGTTTCCAAAAAATGAATTAAATGATTTTTGACCACTTTGTTGTTCAGATATATCACATATTTGTAACTAAATGAAACATGAATTGAAACAAAACACGGTATAAACTGAGGAGTGACCCGCGCGGCCACCGGGGATTGTTTCATGATTGTTCCATGATAATGCCATAAACGATTTCCCATTCATTCTCTATGGCACTGTTGAATCGTTGCCGATGTAATATATATTTGGCCGCGAGTGGCGCACTTTTGCCAGTGAGACCTGTCTGCTCCTCCCCGCCCATCCCCCCTTCAGTGAGTGAGTGATTGAGAGACTGGACAGCGACTTTTTCAACTCCTGACATTACGACCAAACTATAAGGTAAGTTATAGTAACATGAATTAACAGAGAAGCGACATGTAATGTTATGTTATCTGGGCTTTGTCTGACGTGTTTTAGTTTCAATGAACGCTATAAAGTGGTCCGTGTTTCCTACGTGTATCTTGTCTAACGGCTGCATGCACACACGGCACTTTGGGATGAATTACATGTTAATGTAAAGTTAATTCAACTTAAGCCGCTTAAAGTTCATGTGGTAGGATTTCTGTGTGACTTTATTGTGTTTTTGTTGGTGAGGCGAAATTACCGCGAGTTACTTGTGGCGAAATCCTCCGTGGGTGTGCGTTTACATTAATGTATATTTCAATATATAAATGAACGCTAACTACCATGTAAGTTTACCATTAACTCCCTTATTATTTTCCAATAAACCGGGGTTAGATATACTCAGTGGCGTTTCTAGGTGTACAAAACTGGGGGGGCAGAAAGAGGTCGGGGGAGAGAGAGAGAGAGAGAGAGGGGGGGACAGAGAGAGGGAGGAGAGAGAGAGGGGGGACAGAGAGAGGGGGGGAGGAGAGAGAGAGGGGGAGTGTCAAATTACATACTGAAGACCACAGGAGCAACACTGTGAGCGCATACATTTACGTACACAGCGTGGGGATGTCATAGTAATGCACCTTCATACATGGAGTAAAGGTCACCATCACAAAGTAATTCTTAACAATAACAACAACCGTAATGCTTTAGCATTAAAACACCATAGACTGTAAATATAAGGAAAACACAGACACTCATCATCGAGGTCACAATATCAATCGATCCAGCAGAGGCAAAACACAGAAGATCAACAAAATATATGACATAAATGAACTTACCAAAGCTGAAGGCTCACTTGAAAAGAAAAGCGGCACGGCGGTCCTTCCTCTGACAGAATGTGTCTATCACTTTGGGGATGAAGTCCTGTAGTTGCTGGATCAACTGGCTTTCAATTGAAAGCATGGCCAATGCGTTAAGTCGCAGCTGTCCCATGGTGTTGCGAGTGAAAGTCTTTATCCTTTTGAGGGTGGAAAAGTTCCTCTCTGACTCGGATGTCGTCATCAGAGTTGTCACTATTATTTTGACCAAAATAACAGTCTCAGCAAACGTTTCCTCCAAGTTGTTCTCGTGAATGGATTTCAACAGAGACAGGGCAGTGTTTCCAGTGTGAAGCTCACTGTGGCGGTAGAGCGTGGTCAGCTCACGGCCCGTCCACACAGCGGCGTGCGTTGAAGCTTCCAACGCTTCTGCCCATTCACTTTGAATGGGGTGACGTCACTTTTAGCCGAACTGCATCTTGGGAAGCGACGTGGAGCGTTGCTGGCGTTGCTCGCGGCAAAAGTTGAGCAATGTTCAACTTTTGACGCCTCGGCAGAAGCGTCAGCCAATCGAATCATATGCCAGTACAAGCTCTATCCAATCAAACCGCTTCTTGTGTGTCAGGGGCGGGAGATTCATGTGATTGGTTGTTGGTCGAGTGTCAGACACGCACGCCGCTGTGTGGACGGGCCGTCAGACTTCAACTTCTCCTTGTTTCCCAACGCAGGCCACAGTTTCACGGCGCAGTCAAGCTCAGGTGTAGGAAATGACAGGACATGCTGTGGGAAGAATGAGCTGTCAACAAGCTTTGCAGCGATAAAATGGTCACTCTGTGAGAACCTCTGTTCCACCTGTGAGATGACTGTGTCACAAGCCTCCTTCATCACCGGCGCTGTGCTGCTGACTCGTCGGCCTGGCTCGTCTGTTCCATCATGAGCAGTGGCGGCCAATGCATCAGTTTTCTGCCTCATTTTCTGAACATTTTCCTTGAAACGGCAGAGCGCGCTGTTGATCCCAGGTGCATCGATGCTTCGTTTTTGCAGAGTGTTGTATAGAACATCCACTTCTGGCATAAGCAACGAAAAAAACTCCAGGAGCTGCATAAATGCTCGGTCCCGCAGTTTCTTTGACAGGCCGTATGCCTCACTTATGGTGACCGCATCCCATCCTGGTTGTGCGCGTATATGCTTCATACACTGAAGTAGTGCATCTCGGGTCTCCCAAACCGCGTTCACAGTTCTGCTTTTAAAGTTCCATCTCACAGCCGGTGGCCGTGGGATGCGTCTCTGTGTTGCCTCTGCAAGAGCTGCAACACGTTTTGGAGCACCGGAGAAAAAAGTGGAAAAAGCAGTTAGATCTGCAAAAAACACCTTCAGGATGCTCATCCTTGCTGAACACAGTTGCTGCAGGGTCAGGTTCAGTTGGTGGGCGTAGCAGTGAACAAACTGAGCGTTTGGGTACGTCTCCTACCCCGCGCACGTTACCGCTCATGACGGCCGCCCCGTCATAGGTCTGAGCGATTAGCTTTTCTTTCAGCTTCAGGGGTTCCAGAACAGCCTTGATGCTGTTAGAGAGACCTACACCAGTTTTGTCCTTTACTTCCACAAACTCCAAAAAACGCTCTGTAACTGTGAGGTCAGGCATAATGTATCGCAGCACAATCACCATTTGCGATTTACAGGAGACATCGGTTGTCTCGTCGGCCTGAACGGCAACAAATTATGTGTTGTCCACTTGCTTGGCTATTTCCTCCCTGTACACATCATACATGCAGTCCAAGAGTTCATTCTGTATGGTGCTTGATGTCCCTTTGAAAACAAGCTGAGCTTCGTAGTGCCGTTGAAGCCTGGAATCGCCCTCACACATTGTCTCGAAAATTGACCTGAATATCCCTGGATTCAGAGAGTCCGCCGACTCGTTGTGGCCCCGCAGTGCTGTCTCACATTTCCCACACAGTTTAATACAGGTGATGATCCGACCAAGCACGTACCTGTTTTCTTCCACCTTCCTATTATGAGAATCAATGCCGCGTCTGTAGGCGCTGTCAATCTGAGCTGCAACATTCACCCTTCCAAGTAATCCCAATTTTACGGCATTTTCCAAATGACTGTTGCTGCTCTCATGCTTCATTGTCCTCTCCGAAAGATGCTTTAAGTCCTTGTAACCTGTCCTCGACCAAGTACCTTGATCTTCACCAAAAAGCAGGCAAGGAAAGCAAAAGAGGGAATTCTTCTGGATGCTCGCCGTTAGCCATTTCTTTTTAGCAAACCACTCAGCGTTAAACCCACGTTTAACTTTGCCCGCAGTCTGGACCGTTTGGAAATCCGGTGGATGGTGGGCTAAGTGTCTCAAATGTGTGCTCCAGTAAATGGTCAACTTCATTCATTTTCTTTCAGTTTTTTACTTCTTTTAATCGCTGGTGATGTTAGCTATATGCTGCTCTCTCGTCTCCTCTTCAAACTACACGTGACGTTTCGCAGCACTGCACACGTGAGTACTTACAGCCAATCAATTCTGAATTATGTGAGATGACGTATGGTGGGGATGGGAGCACTATGCCCCTACGGTCATTATTTTTTTGCCACACACATTAAATAGAAAAATACTCTGAGCATGCGCAGTGTAGTTTTTACAATCACCGTTCACTTAGACTGTGAGAGGGAGGGGCAGGATCGGGTTTTGTCCCACATGGCTCTAAACAGCTCAAAACGGCACTCTAGACACTAATTAGAAGAACACAGACTAAAACAGAAATATACAGACGAATCAGATTATTAAACATGACCTTAAAATATATTTTATATGTTTTTTTATTTATTTTTTAGTATTTTTTTGTAATCATTATTTGTAATACTTTCTTCTGACACTAGGTGGGGCTGTGCCCCACCTGCCCCTAATGACCCGCCGCCACTAGATATACTAACCCATCACTGTTACAAAACACAGCGTGGGGACAAGTTAACAGCAGTTTACTTTTCATTCATCGGCTCTACAATATTCAGCTGTGCTGTTGCCCAGACGCCATTGGCTGTATCATTCCAATAGCTTGCATATAGACTCTTATTTCACTACTTTTCTATTTTTAATATTTACTTGCACTATATTTGTCTGTTTTTCTGTATTATTGGATGGCACTGTTGGAGAAGCCTGTGACCTAAGATTTTCATCGACATAACTACTCAGGGACAGACTGGACAGCATACATCTTTTTCTTTTTAGATAGGACACTTCACACTAAAGTGTTACCTGGGTCACATGACTGGGGGGAGGCAGCTGAGATCCTGGAACAAAGGCAGTTGAGGTGTGAATTCAGCCTTGGCTGAGTTCCCTTTGATAATTGAAAGGGTTTGACCCATGGGGGGTAATTTAAGTGTAAATAGTTTGTTTCAACAAACACACAGCTCCATACATACAGGAACAAAGATCAACCATATCTGATCCAAAGTAAAATAGCACTACATATATCATAGCACAATGTGAATGTGCAGACAGTTAAAGCTAGGGCTGAGATGTTAACACCATAATGTCTGCTCTCTATTAGACCCCACCCACCTGTGAGCATCATTAACTCACTGATATATATATTTTCTTCTTGACAGATAAAATGCAAAAACACTGCTCGTTTTTCCCTGGGAGGATGACTGTCACATTCCGCAAGGGTCCGCTGGGATATCTGCGGCAGGATCCCACAGATGCAGCCAGACTTCTCAAAGACAACCCGTCTCTACAGGACCAGCATGCACCCGTGAAGGAGGCAGTGGTCAAGCAAAATGCGCTCACCGTAATCCGTATGAGAGGAGGGGATGCTTCTGATAGAACGGAGGTGGCTGGAGAATACATCCTGCAGTTTGGGAAATATAAGGGCAAGTCCTTCCGCTGGCTCCTTGAAAATGACATTGGGTATACCATGTACCTGATCACGAACCAGCAGAAGGAGGAGGCTGCAGGATTGTTCATGGCAGAGGGGCACAGCAAGGACAGCCTTCTGTCTTTTCTGAGCTATGCCCTCAGCTTTGGGGAGATCCAGTCACTTAAGGACTATGAGGCGAAGAAAACAGTTGTTGTTGCAGCAGCAGTGTCAGAGGATGAGCAGCTGGTCGGCTTTGGCAATCGCGCCAAAAACACCTGGAGAGACATTTGGGACAGCAGGGATGATGGCTATGCCGCCTTCATAGTGAAGAAGAAATGTGCTGCAGGTACAAGGATGCATAGGCTGCAACAGTACCTGCAGAAGAAGCTGCACCCCCCCTCTGGCTCCACCACGACACATCCCTCACTTGCTCCTGCTGAGGCCATGGGTGAGTCTGGTTTGTTGTTAGCGCTGTGAGAAATATGCTGTTGGTTAAGTATTGTTTATTAAAACATAGGGAATACACTTCCATTATGTCAGTCGTGATTGTATCCACATTAATTACAGTAAAGACGTTTTGAAGGATTTTCTAAGTCTTGTCTGTTTGCATATAGGGATGGATCGAGATGAAGAGCTGGAGCAAGCGATGCTGAGTATCTCTCCTTCTAAACATGTGCAGAGCTGTGAGTGAACATGTTGTCTCTGCTTGTTTTGCCTGAAGATTTAAAATCATGTATAGTCAGCCTGTTCGCTATTACTCGTTTTTTTGTACAGCTCAATATATGTTTATGCATCACTCTTTCTATTTGTTTTTTGCAGCGGTGTCTGCACCACCATCGTCATCAGCAAGCCCACCACAAGCTCCAAGAAGAAAAAGAGGTTGATCTTTCTGAAAATTCCTGATGAACTCTGGGACCATGAATTATTTTCCCAAAATGACTTTCCGTCACATGTTGGCCATGTTCTGGTCTGTTTGTGCTCTTCTACATGTTGTCCTAGTGACTATGAATTGAAAGCAGTCATGTTGAGGGTAAGTTACTGCTTTTGTTCTTATTTGGATTGAATGAAAAGTACACATTTAAACTGCCGTGGTCACTAACACTTGAACGCATGTGTTTGCCGTGTACCAAGTTATTTCACCTGCTCAGACAGTTGTAATGACTGGATGCTGAATATTAATCCAAACAAAAAGAATGCATGAAATGTATTCTCTAAACATTAATATGAGAAACAGTGTGTTTCACTTTGAGATCAGCAGGTGGAGTAAAGATGGGTGATGTTTGGTCTTACTAACATAATTACTTATTTCTATATTGCCATAATATGAATAAACTGACACACTTTTCTATTTTAGTACCGTCTGCTACCCTCTCTACTGAACTGAAGGCTTCACTAGTAGAAGGTAATGCATTATATTACTGCTTATACATTTAAACCCTGAATCACATGCACTGTGCATCTGTCCAACATGTTGATGAATGTCTTGGCCATCCCTCCATGCAGCCCCTGCTCTGCCTGTAAAGACACTTGTGCCCCTTCCAAAGGAGCTGATGTTTCTGATGCCGGAACCATCCGCCCCGACGCCAACAGAGACCCACATCACTGTTCCAGGTATGTATATGTTTCACTCTTTGCCCCTTGTACAGTTTGCTGACTACGGTGAAGATGCTAAGTGTCATACAACATTATTTCTTTATTTTACTGTTGATAATAACGACATGTTTTAATATTTTCTATAGTGGCTCGTGAGATTTCTGCAGAGCCCTGTCAACCGACACTGCATCCACCAGCTGCACCAACACAAAGTGAGTAATACTAACAATAATAATACGTCACATTTTTGAGGCACCTTCAAGTGTTTGAATGTTTCTCATTTGGATGTGTACTTGCTAAAAATCTTTTTTCAAAAAATCACACACACACAATCGTAATTATTTGCCATGTGTTTTTATTTATTGTCTGCCTAGGTCAGCCATTACCCAGGCCATCAACGGTCCCCAGCTGTCCTCCTCCTCCTCTTCCTCTTCCTCTTCCTCCTCCTCCTCCTCCTGCCTACAACCAGGATGTCAGTCATTGGAACTGTTCGCCGCAGCAGAGGATCTGGATGAAGATGGAGCTGCAATCCATGGGGCTCTGGCCAGGCTCCGTTCCTGTACGCAACCCTCTGAAGATGGTGTCATTGTGGCGTGGCGCTCCCCAGCCAGAGCTGATTCACAGCGTCTATGATTTTCCCTGCGCCAAGTACTTTCAGCTCCATCCTTTTTTCATCTGGAAGCCAGAAAATGACAATTTGATGGGAAGGCTGAGGAACAATTACACTCTGCCGTGTATTGACGGCTGTGCTCAGCCTCAAATTGCCTCTGCTGGTGTTGGTAGGCCTCGTGTGATTGTCGGCACCACCGGACAGTACTACTTGCTGTCTTCAAGGCTCTGCTGCAAAGTCTGCCGGAAGAGGTGGTATGCCGACAACCCATCCTGGCTGGAAAAGCTCCCCAAGAGGTTCACCAACCTACTGCCAGCAGTACTGACTTACAAGAAGGCCATCTGTAAGTCGGTACTGGACGAGCTCCGGCGCAGCGGCAAGTCACCCACTGATATGGCAAAGCAGATCACGGAGTTGATGCACCTCAAATACGAACGTGCTGACCTGGCGTACATCCTCAGCTGTAAGAACATCATGGATGGTGAGGAAGGAAAGTACGACCAGAGGACAATTACCCAGTTCGTTCGGCAGGAAACCAAGCCGGCTCCCTTTGGAGAGTATGGGGACTCTGATGGCTGGAACGGGATCTCTGTGTCTGCACACTACCTGACAGACTGCCTCCTGCATGAGTACGAACACCAGCAGGGCGCCATCACCAAATTACTGCAGGGCACCTTTGGACAGGCCTTCCGATCAGACCACACTCGCAAAGTTGCGAGGAAGGTCACCTTCTCATCCGGGACCATGTCATCATATGCAGTGATGAATGAAAACTGGATGATCCTCTCATGGGTGATGGTGCAGTCTGAGACAGAGAAGTCCTTGAAGCCCTTGTACCAGGGGCTGGAACAGCGCTACAGAACTGCAGGTGTGGAAAAGGCACAGTACCACTGGGTAGACAGGTATGTTTGAATCAATATTATTTAATACATACGTTTAATATTTGATGAAATAACAGCTCTCTGCATTCATTTAGCTCATACAAATAATGATACTGTCATGACTGAATACACATGACTGCATGTATCAATTGATAATAATTACTAAAAATAAATATAACACATACAAATAAATATATTTCTATGCATACATGTGATTGTACAGTGATTGTTATGATTGTTTTAACATTTAAGGCTTTACTCTACTGTCTTTATTTCTTTTTTCAGGGATTGCTGTGCAGCTTTTAGGGTGTCAGAGTCGTGTGAAGGGGAGCATCTGAACTGGGATGCTTGGATGACATCTGATGCCATTGCTGCTCAGGCTACTTCCGGTGACGTGCTGAATACATGTGCATCAAGGTCAAACTTCAATGCGAACATGCTCATCAAGCTTGACCTGTTCCATTGTTTGAGGCGATTGATGCGTGAGTGTGTGTCCGAGCATCATCCCCTCTACAGCTCTTTTGCTCAGTTCCTGTCTGCAGCCTTTTCTGTGGTGGATCAGGAAGACCTGCAGAGGCTTAAAGATGCCTATGCCTTCTGTGGAATCCAGCCTGCCAACCCAACAAAGCCTCACACACGTGAGCACTGCAGGATCAGGATCCCACATCCCGAGGAGCTCGTCAAGAGAGTAGAGGGGGTTTTCCAGCACTTCCACCTTGCAACAGACCCTAACGGGCGCCCTCTCTTCAAAGCCTCTATGCTGAAATGCTGGCGTATTCAGCGGATACACATCCTGCGAGGTTGCCTGAGCGATCCAGAGGTGGAAGGAGGGATCATGTACAGGCATGGAGGAACACTGCAGCTGAACCATGTGCCAGGTGAAGGAGCCAAAGTTCCTGTATGGATCCCCATCAGAGGCACATCCCAGCAGGAAGGCTATCACTTCCACCAGGCTCAGTGGGTCACTGGCACACGCGTTTCCACAGAGCTGTTTCAAGCTCAGGCGATGACAGGAGTGGCGCGGTGGAATTACCAGCGACTGGTGGACCTAAAACAGCCAGATGTCAAACTTACAGCTGTCTTTGATCCTGCATTGATGGGCGAGATCAATGCAGTCTCTCAACAGGTGTTTGGCCATGTTAAATATCCTGCTTTTCATCTCCCTAACAGAGACACTGGAGAGAAGTTTGGCCTGGAATATGTGGAGCCTGATTGCCGCCCAGTTCCTCTAGACTGGGATAAGCACAGGAGTAAGGCAGACTCTACCCAGGCCCTGGATACACCTCCTCAAAGCAGCAACCCCACTGCCCAGTCTGAGCTTCTTCAGCCACCCTCCATCCCCCCAACCAAGCTGTTTCAGTTTCCTGCAAACCTTCCTTCAGTGAAACAAGAGGTGACTGCAGGAACGACTCTGGAGCCTCACACAGAGCCAGGTAAACTTTAGACGCACAGACAAAGTAGTGAATAATCCTTCAGCATCAGTGACTGGATTCCAATCATTTATTTCTATAAAGAACCTTTGTTTTCGTAGACATTAATGAATATATCTCTTTTGTTGTTATAGAAACCACATGTCTGAAGTCTCTGCCTCTGCTGTCCTCGCCAACTGCGGCTCGCACTGGACCTGTGAAGACTGGTGGGAGGGTGTTTGTGTTGGACCACAAGCGCTGGACAGGCCCTATGAGGCAGGCTGTTGACAACCTGCTCAACAAACACCATAGTCAGAAGGACATGCTGAAGCTTGTGGACAAGGACTATGCTGCTCTTGTGCTTGACTCCTGCACAGACCCAAACAGTATGCTTCACCCAACTACAAAACACCACATTTGTCAGTATGTGAAGCATCTCAGCAAGCTTCTGAACACCAGCTCCTCCATAAACATCAGCCCGGAGAAACTACAAGAGAGGCAGGTCCTCTGGCACTCTCTCACAGAGGGTAGTGAGACCACCAGGGTGCCAGTTGTTACAATGCCTGTTGCCATTTTCAACCCCACACTTCCCGTTCAGACCCCAGCCACACCTCTGACACTAGAACATGTTGAGAGTTTGGTCAGAAACATTATGGCCAACCAGCAGCAACAACAACAACAACAACAACAACAACACAAACAAAAGAAGAAACAGACAAAAAGGTGTCTTTCCTGCGGGCAGCCAAAGGCCCGCTTTGAAAATGATGGCTCTTCCATCCACCACTTCTACATGCAGGGCACTGTCAGATACTTTTACTGCTCCACCAAAGTTTTTAAAACTTATGGTGCTGAAGGTCTGACAGACCCTAAAATGCCATTTGGAGACTTTGCCGAGACAGCTTTCTTTCCGCGGGAACTGGAAGCTATGAAGCAAAGGGTGGAGGCAAGAGTCCAGCTTAAAAGAAAGAACACTGAGCCAGAGCACAAAGGTCGAAAATGCGGATTTTGTAGAGAGGAACTCAAGCAGGGCCCAAACAGTCCTCACATTCACACAGGATTCCCAGGAGTAGCAGGGAAGTATGTGTACTGTCCTGCTAAAGTGTTGTCACTATACAGGGATCAGGGCATGGAGAAGCAGATGACCTGGAAGAACTTCAAGGAGTCTGTTTTCTATGAGGCTGAAAAGGGAAAATGACAAGGTTTTTTTTCATGAATATGGATATCACTTCTGTTGTTTTCCTACTGTGTGTCTGTTAATGCCAAATTGTCATCCTGTGTGTTTTAAAACATTTACATTATTTCATTCTCTATTTACTACTGCTTTATTTACTTTATTATATTTACTTTATTTAACAAACTATTATTTACTTTATTTACTTCTACCTTATTGTTACTTATATATTATATGTTTTGTACATAATCTGCTTTGTTTCTGTTGTTTACAATAAAGATGTTTTCTTGATTAATATCTATATGTCTCATTCATAAGTAAATTATTTATACTACATGGTCCATATCTTAAATATAAATAATGCCTTCGGAGTTTTTCTTTTGAAGGTAATAAATAAATATAAACACAATAACAGTTACTATAACAAATTAGGATTCACATTTCTTGATTCATAGATAGCTCTTTATCTTTGATTATGTATCACAGACTTTGCCCCAACCGGGGGTCGAACCTGCGAACAGAAGAAATATCAGCTGGCTAAAACAGTGGTTCAGCACCATGGACAGTAATGCTGCGATTGTATTGGCTGTCACTCTATGCCACAGTAATGCTGCGATTGTATTGGCTGTCACTCTATGCCACCTAAGCACGTCTTGCCCTCCCGTGAGGTTCATGTATTTTCTTCACTCTGCTCTCATGTCAAGAAGCATCAGATCAGTGCATGCACTGCCTCGTCCAATCAGTGAGCGATGCACAGTAAGGGGGCGGGGTGAGTATCTGAGGATTTCATCGGAGGATGGTCTGGTGGTTCCTCGGTTATCGCTCCTCCATGATCGCTCCTCGCTCCTCGATCCTCGGTCCTCCGGCAGAAATAAGAGCCATGGGACGGTACTCAAGATGGCGCAGGCAAATCAACTTCCGGTGAGACCGAGGACCGAGGAGCGAGGAAATGAAAATAGTCGACCTGAGAAGCAGCCCGAGCTGTCCGACTTCAGGCGAGCTTTTTGAGACCTCCCCCGGCTGCGATCGGCTATTCTCGTCTACTTTCGAGGCGAGCCGCAACGCGTCTCAAACAAGCCTACTCCCTCCATCTGACAGACTGCGGTCAACTCAGCCGTCTCTCAAATTTGCTTGGTCAAATGAGCAGTTCTTCATTTTTAGGTGCGCGATTTATAGCACCTTTACGGTAATCACTGAGAAGCGGCTCTAACGCTAATGCAATAGGTGTTTTTCTGCTTCTGTTTCTGTTTGACTGCTACCAACAATAAAATGAATTACTTTTACTGTCTTTTTTCTGGGTAATACACTCAAATTCCCCTCCTGAGAACAAAATCACGCCACTTCTGCTATATTTGATGAGATAAAATGATTTTTAGCCATACATTCTTAATAAAAGTGATACTGTTGGACTCAGTAGCCTACTTGTTAGACTACTACCAAAAGTACAATCAAGTACTTTTACTGTGTACTTTTTGAGAAATACCCTGTCAAACTCCCCTCCAGAGTACAATAATGTATGTTTTCTGCCATCTTTGATGAGAGATAAAATGATTGTCTGCCATAAGTTCTCAGTGAAAGTAGTACAGCTGGACAGAGTACTACTTGGACTACTGCCACAAGCACAATCAAGTACTTCTATCGTGTACTTTTTGAGTAATACCCAGTCAAACTCCCCTCCAGAGTACAATAATGTATGTTTTATGCCATCTTTGATGAGAGATAAAATGATTTTTTGCTATAAGTTCTCAGTGAAAGTGGTACTGCTGGACAGAGTAGTACTTGGACTACTTCCACAAGTACAAGCAAGTACTTTTATCGTGTACTTTTTGAGTAATACCCTGTCAAACTCCCCTCCAGAGTAGAATAATGTATGTTTTCTGCCATCTTTGATGAGAGATAAAATGATTTTCTGCCATAAGTTCTCAGTGAAAATGGTACTGCTGGACAGAGTACTACTTGGACTACTTCCACAAGTACAATCAAGTACTTTTATTGTGTACTTTTTGAGTAATACCCTGTCAAACTCCCCTCCAGAGTACAATAATGTATGTTTTCTGCCATCTTTGATGAGAGATAAAATGATTTTCTGCAATAAGTTCTCAGTGAAAGTGGTACTGCTGGACAGAGTACTACTTGGACTACTGCCACAAGTACAATCATGTACTTTTATCGTGTACTTTTTGAGTAATACCCTGTCAAACTCCCCTCCAGAGTACAATAATGTATGTTTTCTGCCATCTTTTTTTTTTTTAATATATTTTTATTGAAGACACATAAAAAAGACATTTGGTACATTGACAGGGACCACAGTTCAAAGTTAGTAGTAACCATTTAGTCTCTACTATTGTGCATCAATTGACAAGCCATACATGGTTAATTTTCTCTTGAAGGCATACAGTATTTAAGCCACCTTCATAACTCAAACAGACCAGATAGCCAAATATAAGGGAGTAGTGTACCGACTGAACTAAACAAGATAATAATAATAAAATCAAAATAATAATACTAAAACAATACAAAGACAACCAATTAACATAAATACGTAATAAAGGGGAAGGGGGGGGGGGTGTCCATCAATCAGTAACCAAAAATGCGAGAGATTGGAAGAAGGTTAAGAAGGGTTGCCACTTAGTGTAAAACATAGAGGTTCTGCCTCTTAATGAATACTTAATATTCTCCAATTTTAGAAAATACATGACATCGCTGCGCCACTTAGCATTGGAAGGAGCTTTTTTGGATTTCCAGTGAAGAAGAAGAAGTCGTCTTGCCAATAACGAAGTAAATGCCAAAATATCTAATTGCCCCGAGTTGTATCTGTTGTAATCTTCTGGGCACCCAAATATGGCAATATGGGGACAGACTTTCACAGTGAGTGAGAGTATTTTTGAGATATCCTCAAAAAACTTCTGCCAAAAGGAAAACACTAATGGGCAGGAGAAGAACATATGGGATAGGTTGCAGGGAGAGGCTTGACATTTGTCACAGATGTCAATAACAGTGGGATATATTTGTGACAATCGTGTCTTTGATAAATGAACCCTGTACAGCACCTTGAACTGTATGAGAGTGAGACGAGCACAGGATGAACTTGTATGAATCCTATTAAGAGCAGTGTCCCACCAGTGATCACCCAAGTTCACACCTAGCTCAGCCTCCCAGGCAGCCTTGATTTTAGTGGTGTGTGAGCTGTCATCGGTCAGGAGTTTGTTATATATTTTTGAAATAAGTGACTTTTGAAGGGGATCGGAACAAAGAAACTCATCCCATAGTTGATTAGGGGGTAGAGAGGGAAAGGATGGAAACAGGGATTTGGTACAGTGTCTAATTTGGAAATAACGAAAAAGGTGAGATGTTGGGAGTTCAAATTCCCTTGATATATCAGTAAAACTACGAAAGGTATTATCCTTATAAAGCTCTCTAAAAGTCCTCAGGCCCTTCTCATGCCATACAGAGAAAGTGGGGTCGGATAAGGCAGGTCGGAATAAATGGTTTCCCAATAAAGGAGCTAAAGTGGATGCAGAAGTAAACTTAAAATGCCTCCTAAATTGGTACCAGATTTTAAGAGTAGAACTCACAACAGGATTATTTGTATGTCCAGAGAGGTTGGTGGGAATGGAAGAGGTAAGTAGGGCCATAGCGGAGGATGAGCCACAAGACTGTGCCTCAAATCTAGACCATGGAGGATGCACTGATTTTGACCAAAATGAAATGTTGTGTATGTGTGAAGCCCAATAATATAATTGGAAGTTCGGGAGAGACAGTCCAGCGTTATGTCTACATATTTGAAGAATAGATTTACTTATTCTGGGTGCCTTTCCATTCCATAAAAAGCCAGAAATAACCTGATCAAGAGTCTTAAAAAATTGTTTAGGTAGGATCTATTCCTAGACATTGGAAAATAAATAGGTACTTAGGAAGAATGTTCATTTTAACTGTGTTAATTTTACCTATAAGCGACAGAGGTAAACTCTTCCATCTTTGAAGGTCTGACTTGATTTTAGACATTAAAGGGGAGATATTGGCAGCGAAAAGGGAACTTAGTGTTCTTGTTACATTGATTCCTAGATACTTAAAGCCAGAGGGGCTCAATCTGAAGGGGACATTGGACTGGTTCAATTGTGATGCCAGGGCGTTAACAGGATAACATTCACTTTTGGAAATATTCACTTTGTAACCTGAGAATGAATCAAATTTCGTAAGAAAAGATACAATTGTTGGTATAGAGTTACTGGGGCTTGAGACATACAACAATAAATCATCCGCGTACAGGGACAATTTAAATTCCATCCCCAGCCGCCATATCCCAGTGAAAGTGGTTGAGGTCCTCAGATATATTGACAAAGGCTCTATGGCTAACGCAAAAAGCAAAGGAGATAGTGGACATCCCTGACGGGTTCCTCTGGATAAATAATATAAGGAGATTGAACGCCATTAGTGGAAATACTAGCTTGTGGGGATGTATAAAGAAGGCGTATCCATGAAATAAATATATCACCCAGCCCAAATTTACTCAGTACAGTAAGTAAATAGTCCCACTCAACCCTATCGAATGCTTTTTCTGCATCAAGTAAGATCACTACTTCAGGGGTCGTAGCGGTGTTTTTGGAGTAGATAATATTTAAAAGGGTGCGGACATTGTAAAATGGTTGACGTCCCTTTATAAATCCTGTTTGTTCTTCAGAAACTATGGTTGGGAGAATATTTTCTAATCGACGTGCCAAAGCCTTAGCAAGTATTTTCGCATCCACATTTATTAAGGAAAGTGGCCTGGAAGAGCTGCAGAGATCCGGATCTTTGTCTTTTTTTAAAAGAAGACTTATGGAGGCTTGTCTTAAAGTGGGAGGAAGAGAACCATTCCGCAGAGATTCCTTATACACCGAGTGTATTAATGGGGCCAGGAGCTTTTCTATTTTGCATGTTATTTATAGCGAGGGAGATCTCATCTGGGGTTAATGGAAAATCAAGTTATTTTGAAACACCAGGACCTATAGTAGGGAAATTGAGATTGTCAAAGAAAGCGCCCATCTCAGAAGTGTCGG